GTCGGCACCAAAGTGCTTCTGAAAGACCATCCGGCACCTCGGGAGGGAGAACCTTGGAACAAGCTGTGTACAGTAAAGATGGGACCCTTTGACACTTTGAGGAAACTCCTGAATCCAACTAGCACGCCCTGTTTGGTAGAGGCGGAGCTGGAGGCGGAGGAGGGATCATCGTCAATTTGCCTGGTGGGGGTCACTGAGGTAGTCAAACAACTCCGCAGTGGCAAAGCCCCGGGGATTGATGAGATCCGTCCAGAGATGCTAAAAGCAATGGGTGTTGGGGGGCTGTCTCGGATGACACGCCTCTTCAACATTGCGTTGAAGTCTGGGACGAAAAGGGGGAACAGAGAGTGTGTGCAAACTACAGGTGTATCACATTACTTAGCCTCCCTGGTAAAGTCTACTCCAAGGTGCTGGAAAGGAGGGTTTGACCGATAGTCGATCCAATGATTGAAGAGGAACAATGTGGTTTTTGGCCTGGTCGTGGACACGACGGACCAGCTCTGTACTCTTTCACAAATCATGGAGGGGGCCGGGGAGTATGCTCATCTAGTCTACATGTGTTTTGTGGACCTGGAGAAGGCGTATGACCAGGTCCCCGGAGAGATAGACATTTTGGGGGCTGCGGATTTCATCACTTTTTGCAGATGATGTAGTCCTGATGGCATCTTCTGTCTGTGACCTCCAACTCTCACTGGAGCGGTTGGCAGTGAAGCGGTTGGGATGAGGATCAGCACCTCTAAATCTGAGGCCATGGTTCTCAGCAGGAAACCGATGGATTGCCTACTCCAGGTAGGGAATGTGTCCTTACCCCAAGTGAAGGAGTTCAAGTACCTCGGAGTCTTGTTCACAAGTGAGGGGAAGATGGAGTGTGAGTTTGGCCGGAGAATCGGAGCAGCGGGGGCGGTATTGCACTCGCTTTACCGCACCGTTGTGACGAAAAGAGAGCTGAGCCGGAAGGCAAAGCTCTCGATCTACCGGTCAATCTTCGTTCCTACCCTCACCTATGGTCATGAAGTATGGGTCATGACCGAAAGAACTAGGTCACGGGTACAAGCGGCCGAAATGGGTTACCTCAGGAGAGTGGCTGGCGTCTCCCTTAGGGATAGGGTGAGAAGCTCAGCCATTCACGAGGAGCTCGGAGTAGAGCCGCTGCTCCTTTGCGTCGAAAGGAGCCAGTTGAGGTGGTTTGGGAATCTGGTGAGGATGCCCCCTGGGCGCCTCCCTAGGGAGGTGTTTCAGGCACGGCCAGCTGGGAAGAGGCCCCGGGGAAGACCCAGGACTAGGTGGAGAGATTATATCTCTGCACTGGCCTGGGAACGGCGTGGGATCCCCCAGTCAGAGCTGGTAGATGTGGCCCGGGAAAGGGAGTTTTGGGGCCCCCTGCTGGAGCGTTTGCCCCCACGACCCGACCCCGGATAAGTGGTTGAAGATGGATGGATGGATATATCTTTTTCGAATATTTAATTTAATTTATTTTTTAAATATTTTAAATATTTATTTCTATTAATTATTATTATTATTTTATATTCTTGTTTTTTAAATATTGACTGCTTTTGCACCACGTATCTGAGAAGTACCGTTGTTCATGGATCCTCCAGCAGTTGTTCCTGCAACCCATCGTCCTTCATAGAAGGTGGTCTTCCAATGGCAAGAAGAGTCTCCATCCAGGAAATTGGGATACAGGCAGCAGATGTCCAGTAATAAGTAGAATTTACAGAAGTCCTCCAGGGTCATCCTGTTTTTGGGGATTGACATTGGGGATTATTTTAAGATACCTCACTGTAGTGTTGGATTCACTTCAATCCACCAATCAAAGAATCTATTAAAGTTCTACTTTAAAAAATGTCAGTTACCAAATGTTGATTTTTCTAAACTTACCAAAACTCGCCATCATCACGCATTGCAAGGCAGCTCTCACGGTCTTCAGGACTCACAGTTTGCCACAAACGCGACCTTAATATTTGTCATATTTCGTCATGGGCTTGAACACTAGACATTTTTGGAAGTTTTGTCATTACTAACAATAGTCAGGAAATGAAATTGAAAAAATAAACAATATTTTGACCAAATGTCAATAAGCTGCATTTGCAGTCCAACAAAGCTTGTGTTGCAAAGACCACAGATTAGCTTCTCAAGACTCGGTGCCAAATGTCCTCAACCCCTCCAGACAGGAATTACACAAACATTGTGTCCTGTGAAGGGTCCAAATCAAGAAAAACACCTTCACTGTACTCCGGGTGGTTCTTACTCATCACTCCAGGCTCCGTTCCACTCTGTTGCGCCCCAGGGGTTCCACAGACGTACCAGCTGTACTGGTGTCCCATTACTCATCATCTTACCAGCAATAGCAAGAAAGAAAACAATCATTATTTCCCAATATAAAGTAGAGACCATTTTAAGGCCTTTGTTAAACCTATGTACTTAGTTCCTTTAAAACAAATTCACCTGCTTGACCCCTGTGACAGCGTAGGCGTGGCCTTGGACCAATCCATTCGGTAACACGGCGTTGCCGGCTGAGTCCTGTAAGATGAGGAGGCTCTTTGTGTTATCATGCAGATAGTCTTGGTCGAGACACTTTTACCATGAACTAAAGAAGGTTTTTATTTCTTCACCATTCATGAAAGAAGCACAAACTATTATGAAATAATGCCGGTGTTAACCAGGTCACACTTAGACTAGTGAGATTCTGCAGAGCCATTTAGTTTGGATGATTCAAATGAATTAAAATCCTGAAGAAGCATGTGTTGTTTTGGGCAGAAGCTCCATGCTTACCCCCTGCGTTGTACCACAGCCCATCAGGCACTTGAACTGGCCAGCTCTACACATCTGTTCCCAAAGGTCTCCGGGAGGGTCTTGCAGTTCAATGCACATGTGAACACCTCCGGTGAAGTCCACCAAAGCCTCATCAGGGGTTCCTGAATTCATGTCTGAGTAAGAGCCACACACTCTGAAACGATCAGTTAGGACGTTACTTTCAGTAATACTCCAAAAAAAAGGCAGATATCTGTAAAACAGCATTCTAGTTTTCTTGTCATACTTGGCATAGGCCTTCTCGAGCAGAGCAGGCCAGAACACAGTCGGGTCACTGGAATGAACGAAGATCAGTTGGCCATTAATCGTTGGTAACTTATCGTCAATAACGACGTCCACCCATTTCCCAAATCTCCAAAACTGGGTAGTTGAGAAAAGAGAGAATATGAAAAGATTTATATAGGATATTTACTACCTAACAGAATCCACTGCTGACGGTTATTTACCCTGAAGTGGAACAGCCCGCAGTATTTCTTATCAAACCTTTGCTCAAGAGGAACAACTTGCTGAAAGATTTGTTTCTGGAACGTCAGAGATCCGATAGACGCGAGAAACCAGCAGTTTCCTGTGTAAACAACGCTCGTTGAGATGTTATCAGATTACAGAAGATTGATTATACTGAGATCTTTTCTGCACTCGCTCGTCAAAATGACATTTCTGGACCAACAATTTACAAATCATTAGGAATTTAGCAATTTGCTTACCAACAATTCCTTGACCAAAGTCAAACCTGGAGATCTCGCCAGCTTCAAAAGATGGATTTGGAACCAGTTTCTTGAACAGGTTGTTGAAGGTTGAATATATATAACACACTTCATACATGTTGACTCTAAGCATCTTTCAGCAACGGGTTCAAATGAAAGCCTCACCGCGGGTCTGAGCCACTCCACTCGGCTCAAGTCAGCAGGTTCGAGTACGTCTCCTCCGATGGACGTTTTGTCGGGGGGGAACATTTTGTCGATGAACCTCACCCCTTGGATGAGACAATACTGTTTCAGCCGCTCATAGTCTTGGTTGAGAAACGGCTCGGGTTTGGCGAAGGTCCCGTAGCCGTTTTTCGTGTTACGGGCGTTAAGGATGCTCATGCACACGCCGGGCAAAGCCATCGCTGCAGTCTGTCAGTCTCTGTGCAGCAGAGGGAGATCCAGAGGGAAAGATTTTGAAGTGTGCTTTTAAGATTCTATGAATACTACGGAGTGCATTAACACATCAATCGGTAGTAATACCTGTTTTATTTTCCTGTTTTACTTTACTTTACAAACAGCAAAATAAATGATGGTGCTATAGCCAAGAGACGAAAAGGAAAAATGTAATCTATGGAATCCATTGAAAGTAAAACATTCATGACCATTCCAGAGTAAATGGACTATAAAATAGGGAGAATGACAAATTTTGTTGCAAACAAGTTGCTTTGTATTTTTGGGAGACAGTTATATCGGATCTTTTCAAATAAACTCATATTTGCACGACTGTAGTTAAAACAACTGTTTTACACATTCATTTACCATTAACAGTAATTTAATTATTACACCACAAAAATTAAATCTTGCTTTGGAAAAAGACCTAAACCACAACATAAACACTGTCATGAGGAAGTATATACATGAGATACTGCATGTTGCAGGAATAACAAGGAATAACCTCTTTAACAAGTTCAAGAGGAGGGGAATTCCATCCACTGCAGGTAAAGTGAAATTAATATGACACAGACAAACACATTTGACTTAATCCTGGACCGCAACATGTAATAGGACCTTGGATCTTACCTTTCCAGCCAGAAAAGGGACGTGACGTGAGCGTCTGTGGGAGAGCGACTCCAAATAAGAAGCTCCAGTTCTTAAATTAGTTTTACAAACGCCCGAGGCGCTGCTGTCAGCGAGATGCATTCCTTTGATAAACGAAACGAAAACTCTCAAACAGGTGACCTGCCACAGCTTACACAGGAATGTGGGCCAACATGCAAATTGTCTCACTAGGATATTCAAATGGTATGACTGATACTGAGGAGTTTTTATTTTTTAAATCCAAACTGCTGCTCTTGTCTTAGTATTTAGAATTGTGCATTTATTGCACAGATGTAACATCTGCAAAATGATCGCATGCTATATTTTAAATCTTGAAGTATGTTTTGTTGTGTTTATTCATGTGCTATGATGTGCTACTTTTTATAATAATACCAGACAATAATATTTCAGATGTCAGATTCACGTAAGTTTAAAATGTCTTTTATTATTTCGTCTTATTATTAAGCTGCACAAAAAAGATTTATTTCCACATCCGATGTCTGATCTAACAACAGATTGTAGTAATATATTTGATAGTTTTAATAGACAGTTTTTTAACTATATGAATCTAAGCATGCAGTATGTGCTGTAACACCCATCCACCTCATTCAAACAAAACCACCTGTTGCATTAATCATTTACTCCGGAACTTTTTGCAATTAATAATTGATTCTTTTCAAGCCACAAGAGAGCAACAAAACCTTTAAACACATCAGTGTCTTAATAGAAAACTGGAAATAACATGACGATCTTAAAGAGGCTGGCTTCCTTTTTACAGCAGTGTGTCATTAAAGGTGCATTCGATCAAATATAAATGTGAGTAATATTGTACCATTACTAACTGATGTGATAGTTGTCCTGTTCTAAAATCTGAAATGTGTTTGTACAAAGTCTTCATTCAGTCGACTGAACATATGCTATTAATGTAAAAAACAAAGTCACATGACGAGATTCCATCTGTATTGTTGTAAAGTCTCCAGGCGCTTTGGCCTTATGTTACAGGACCGGTTCAGTTATTTTTTCACATTATTGTGTAATGCTCTTTGGTTCCAATACTGTGTAATGGCTCATATGTAAGAATACATCTTTTATCATGTGGTAAACAAGACTAGTAATGGGTTGTAAGAGTACATTCATAGGGCCCATTTACCATTACCATACATCCAGCAACTTAGCAAATAAAAGAAAACCCTCTCTCCAAACATCTCCGGGTGAATTGTGCCGTCCATCCTCCAAGTTGAGTTAAGTGTACATCGAAATGTACATCCACTGAAAGGGACGGAGACACAGACAATAAATTTAGTGAAGGGTGTGTTGTCACTTGTCGTCACTGTTGAACTGAATGTTTTGTCACCTCTGACTCTTGAAGATTCATGTTTTTTCCATCAGACAGTTGTTTGAAGATCTCTGTTGAGAAACACGCCGATTGCGAATGAACTGTACGTGTCACAAAACGTCGGGAACTTTAATATGAAGTTACTCTGTCTGCGGCGACGTCACTTACTGCTCATGCAGTCCAAGCGGAGGATGAGGCCGATGAAGCTCTCCAGGGTGATGTGTCCAGAGGAGGCGCCGTAGCGCAGCGCCATCAGACTGAGCATGTCGTCCTTCATCCTCATTCCTGTTCAACGTAACGACGGAAGTGGGACTTAAAATCTTGGTTTCATGTCCATTTTTTCCTTCCAAGTGTGGATCGATTATGAACTTTGTTTGAATATGCATCGGACTTATTCTGTCTGTCAGTTCTGTATTCTTTTCATGCTCCAAATCATCAGATTGAACACGTTCACAAGCCAAAGTCGAATACAAATCAGATCATAGATTGTAATGAAGGGAATCGGTGGTTCACCTGAAGCTGCGAAAGCGTTCCGCAGCTCGCTCAGTGACAGCGTTCCAGTTCGCGAGACATCAGTGAGGAAGAAAATGTCCTGTTTTGAACGGAGACAACACTGACAATTATCAGGTGGATCCTCCATATCCATCTAAATATATACGGAGATATTAAATTCAGTTCAGTTTGAAGTGTTGAACCCTGAGTTCTCACCCTGTATGTGACGACCTTCTTCCACAGACGAACAAACTCCCCACCGTTCAGTTTGCCTGAGATGGACGTCTGAGGCAGCGTTAAGGCATCACAGCTGTCCATGTGTGCTTACGGGGGGTATGAATCTATATACATAAATGATACAACATCCACCCCAAGAGGATACGTCCATCAGAGCCACCATGCTGCGACAGGCCTCGATGCTGAAGCCTCCTGATTTCAAGTCGCCTAATAAAAGAAGACATATTTAAGATTTTTCATTCACAATTTTAAATTCATGTAGCTGTTATGCGCTTAGTCAACCCAGTGGATGTTATTTTGCACTCCTAACCTTTCAGGATTTTTTCATTTAGTAGCATCTGCAGCGTTTCAGCATCCACTTCTTCATACTGGAAATGAAAGGAGAACAAGATGCAGAACACTGTCATTGTTATTATGTTGTTACAAATACTGTACTTAGTTATTTGACCCAAACAGTATGAATAAGCTCCATCTCTTTAAAATGTTGAGTAGTAGTATGATACTCAATATTTACTATGTCGGAGTTCTGGTGGAAAAGTGTTTTCCTCTTCTTTTCTTCTTCCACATTTGCAGTCGGTGTGAGCTACGAATTAAAAAAAGGGAGTGGAAGAGAAAACACATGTAATCCCAGATTAAAGGGGCCAGAAAATCTCACATTAAGAACGCCGAGGATACTTGGACATCACCAAAGCTTTCCCACCATTCCAACCGGCTCCTCTCCTTGGTCGCCTGAGTTCTCGCTGAGGAAGCGACAAAGACACGAGATCAGCGAGATTCCAACGGCAAAACTCTTCACAACAGCGTGGAACGCCGCGCGGGACGGAGCGAGCTTACTAGCCGTCGGTCTTCTCCTTGGTGATGATGGTCAGCAGGAAGGAGGCCGCCTCGTTGGGTCTGAAGGTGGACGGTACGATCAGGTACTCTGCGGGCTTCAGCGTGAGGTACTCCACCACCTCGCGGGCGTTCCGGTAGGTTTTGGTCTGGCCGGCTGGCGCCTGGTTGAAGAACGATGGAGGGAACTTCCCCTTCTGTGCCTTGTGCTGTAGGGATTCACATACACTGTATATTTATATTTCAGTTCCTTCCCTGTCTTTCACCAGAGCTGCGTAGTATCGACTTGAAAGGGCTACAAGGTCGTTTCTTACGTGTTCCTTCAGCTTGAGGGAAACCAGCGGAAGACGAGTTCATGTTGGGGACAGAAGGCACAGTCAATAAATGACGGTTATCTTTTCAGTTCCAACGAAGTCTTATTACAAACACGCGTGCCGTCACTGACTCTTTCTTTGATACAACGTTGTAAAACCAACAATTAGGTCACGTGGACTTTGTGCAGTCGTGCATTCACTGCGTTGAAATTTGATTTACTGCAGCCTTCCAAGACTCTCATTCTCTCTAAATTCCAATTCCACGTTATCCTTGTCTACTGGCTCACAGACAATCAGTTATACAAGCAGCATGCATGGCAATTGTTTTACTCTGTATACTCTGACATCTTCTGTGTGTTGCTGGGATTTCAGAGAGATTCGTATCTCTTTGATCGAATGCACCTTTACTTTGACACATGGCCTCAGGCTGGTAAAGAGGGCCTCTCATTTTCCGACTTAACTAATATGCAAATATTGAGCCGGAGGGGAATTGAACTTTGCATTGCATCACTGAGAACTGGAAAAACCGGGTCGTTGCCCTTGTCGGAGGAAAACGTTTTTATTGGCGTCTATTATTTTCCTCTTTGACTTGTATTTGTAACCTAAAGGAACGTATCACCACTGAGGACCACTGATGGGATTGTATTTAAAAAGAAACCCACAGCTAGCTACCTTCCACATCTATTGCTTGCATGGCTCATACTGTGACAGATGCGACAAAGAGTAATATTTACCTCAAACACAGAGATTCCAATGTGGAAGTTTTGGATCAGGTGCCTGTTCCTCTTGTCGTGCTTTTGCATGAGAGACAACAGCACGTTTTTCTCGTTACCTGAATGTTCCCCAGAAATCTTGACCCGGTACTGCGGATTGGTCCAGAAACTGTCTGGAAGACAGAGAGAGGAGACCATTTATTGGCATTATATCATTCTGCAACAGGTAGTGGGGGAGGCTAAATATGGAATTAAGTTTAAAGCAAGTTAAATATTCATCAAGTCGGAATTGTTTCAATACAGAAAGTAGTTGCATCAGTTGTGTAATAGTTTTTATCTTTCTGACTTTAACTATACAGTATTTATGGGTCTGAACAAGATAAGAGAGTGTGTGAAATAATGTCACTTTATGATAATCTGTCCATAAAGCACCCCCGTGCAGGAGCCATCTCTACAAACAGTGGCCATCGGGCTGCACAAAGCGCAGAGAAGATCGAATCGCTTCATTCTCTGTTAATAGGTATTTCGTGCGTTCCAGATATCCTGGAAGTACCTCTGTTATTAGAGCATCCCCCGGCAGTTGTTCCCGCGACCCACCGGCCCTCGTACACGGTGGTCTCCCACTGACGAGAGAAGTTTCCGTCGAGGAAGTTGGGCGACAGGGAGCAGATATCCAGATCTGTGTAGAACTTACAGAAGTCCTCCAGGGTCAACCTGGCGACATTAAAGATGGATTTTGATATTGTTGTATGAATTATTCCAGGGAGTTGCTACTGTGCGGCCATGAGTGGGACCGACAAAATGTTTAGAAAAGTTAGAAAAGGTTGAATTTGCTCACCAAAACTCTCCATTATCTGCAACTGAGAGGAGCGCGGCACGATCTTCGACACTCAGGGTTTTCCACAGAGGTGACCTTGAAGACATTTGGAAGTTGTTTTGGGGTTTCAGAGACAATTGGGGACAGGTTGTCTCAATTTTTTACTTCAACTTATATGGAAATTTAGAGGATAAAAAGACTACGGCGGCTTAATTACCTCACTGCTACTGGATGGAGGATCAAGTTGTTATCTTTTTGACTTAAAACTTATATTTGTTAGCTACAAGAACATACCACAAAGACCCTGGCTCCCATGATCCTTTTCCAGATTCAAAAGTTACCTACAGGAATCTGACGTGAAGAGTACTATAATTTGAATAGAAAAGACTCTCGGCTCTTACTGCCGCAAAAAGTAGATTTTTTAAAAACACCCTTTACAAACTAATGCTTTTCTTATCCAGTGTCATTGGAAAATAATTAATTATCACTGCACTTATGAGAAGTCCTTCTCACAGATCACTCCAGGCTCCGGTCCACTCTCCTTTGCCCCAAGGGTTCATCAAACGCAGCAGCTTCACTGGTTTCCCTCGGCTCGCGACCTGGCCGCCAGTCATCAAGGAAGACAAACCACAAAGGAGTTCAATCATTCTATAAATCAATTTTTAAAAGTGCCTGAACAGCCAATTCACAACTTTTAGCAATGTCATCTTTCTGATAACAACTAGAAAGTGGAATTTTCGTTAGCATGGTGGGTCATATACATGGGCGATACACGTTGCACCCCGTGTTTCTGCACCAATGCAACAAAAACGGGCCGCAAAGAGCAGACGACGATAATCCCACTTGGTGCACGTGCGATTCCTCACCTGCTTCATCCCCGTCACCGTGTACGCATGGCCTTGGACCAATCCATTTGCCAATATGTTGTTGTCAGGTGTCTCCTGCAGGTAAATACAATGAGTAATTAGCTAATCAAGTATCAATGAAGTAGTCTGCTTGCTCGGTGTGGTGTTTGTGCGGCGTATAATTACCCCTTGAGGTGTCCCGCACCCCATCAGCGACGAGGACTGTCCAGCGCTGCACATCAGCTGCCACAGGTTGGGGGGGGGATCCGACAGCTCCACACTTATGTGAACGCCACCCGTGAAGTCCATCATGGCCTCTGCGGGGGTCCCGGTTACCATGTCGGTGTAGGAACCACACACTCTGGCACAAGCGGAAATGATGCTGTTGTTGCAGATTCCCAAGATACAACAATTGAGAAACAAGTTCTGTGTTTTTTCATACTTGGCGTAAGCTTTTTCCATCAACGCGGGCCAGAACTCGTTTTGGTCTTTGGAGTGAGCGAAGAGGAGTCTCCCATCGATTGTCGGCAGCTTGTCATCAATGACGACATCCACCCATTTCCCAAACCTCCAGAACTGAATAGTTGATGAAGCAAGAGAAGGGAATTAAATAAAATAATAATCACATAATGGCATATATGTCACGGTTTGGGTTTGTTTCCTGTCTTATTTTGTAGTTTTCTGCCTCTTTTGTCCCCGGGTAACTTCACTTCCTGCCTTGTCCTGTCATCCCCTGTGATTGTCTGATTGTTTCCACCTGTGCCCAATCACCTGCACCTTCCCAGTGTATTTAAGTCATGTGTGTCTCTTGTCCCTTGTTGCGTCATTGTTGATTGTCCCGGAAGTCCATGTCAGAGTCTTCCTGGTTCCCGTCTATGTTTTTTGTCCTTGGCCTTTTTGATTTTTGGAATTTTTGACTATTAAAGTCCCTTTTGTTTTCTCGGAACTCTGCGTTTGAGTCCTGCCTTCCCCGGTTCTTGATAATATATTTACTACGTATTAATATAAGTACTAAATTTGACTTTTTTTGGCATTCATAAAAAAAGATTAATTTCAGCAAAGTGAAATCTACAAGAATTAGGAAAGTGACATCATGCACGCATCAGATTATGTGTAATTCAATGCCTTTTTAATAATCACAGGTCAATAACCAATAACATCAAGTTAAGCTGTTGGTTTTTACCCTGAAGTGGAACAGCCCGCAGTATTTTGCATCAAATGTCTGGTCAACAGGGACGACCTTTTCAAAGATCTGTGGCTGTAACGTCAGAGCTGCGAGAGATGCCAAAAACCAGCAGTCTCCTGCCAGGAGGAAAAATAAGGTCATTGAGCTGAAATAGGCCCAGCACACAAAAAAAAAGTACAAATGAAGAGATTTTTCCTACCAAGGACTCCTTGACCAACGTCGAACCTTGAGATTCCGTCAAGAATGAAGTTCGGAAAAGGAGACAATTTCTGAAAAGGGAGCGTAAACAAGTGTTAATATGGTATTTTGATTAGATAACATCTGAACCTATTGAAAATGTTACATGTGAACACCATAATTACCACAGCACCGTTGGGTCCGTGTGAACTCAAACCTCTGAGTTAAACGTTATTGTCAACTTGCAAAACACTCACCATCGGTCTGAGCCACTGCACGCGGCACAGGTCCGAGGGCCTCAGGATCCCTTCGCCGATGGAAACGGCGTCGGGGGGGAACATGTCGTCGACGTACATGACTCCTCGGGTGACGCAGTGCTGTTTGAGCTGCTGGTAGTCCTGGTTGAGGAACCTCTCGGGGTTGGCGAAGGTCCCGTAGCCTCTTTGCTTCTGACGGGCCTCCATGATGTTCAGGCATGCGCCGGGCGGAGGCATGGTGGTCGGCGTTCGGGCTCTGTTCAGGGCAACGAAGATCAGGAAACATTTTTCAGATAATTAAAGGGAATCAAACGGTAGCAAAGTAAAAAGGCCAGAACAGACGCAGGACTTTGTTGTGTGCATACCAGAAGCTTTACATCTATACATCGATCTCTGGGTCCCTGCTTTGCAGGATGAACTTAGGATACTCGCCCACTGGGGGTCAAACGTATCGGTCCAACACGTCCCTCGGGTTGAGATGAGTCACCTAAGCATATGAAGATCTTACCTGTGGAGTTCTCGTGAGGAGATGGGAGATGGGATCACCAGGCGAGCGCCACGGAGGTCTTGTTTCTTTTAAACGCTGGTTTCAGATTGAGGGTTTCCTTATGAGTGCAAACATCCTCCCACCTGCAGATTCAAACTTGTGCCCTGAAACCTGAACTGGTCGTTTGAGTTTATTGCGTGTTTATTGCGTGTTTATTGCGTGTTCACAGCGGTTGTCAATGATTGGTTGAGACAGGAAGTTGTCACATGAACGGTGCTGGCTGCTTGGAACTTTGATTAGGGGCCTTTTTCCTGTTAATTAATAAAGTTATCATCAGACACTACGTTAAGACGCAGCCTCCTCTTTGACTTAGATATTATTGATTTCAAAGAAATAATTAATCCTACCAGATGCGTCCTCAAATTGGTTTTTGTGTCTTCAGAAACCGAAACTGGAGGCAGTAAGAGCTTTTATCATTTACAACTTAGACCTGTTTACTTAAGGCCCAAAGGGATTTTATATGAGCTTTGAACATCCGCTCAGCTTTAAAAGCTGATGACAAAAAGGTTATTATTTTAAAAAAAAATCAAAAATCTATTTGTTGTGCATCTGAATTGGGCTAAATTGAGAAACGGAAGGGAAAATGTTCAGGTGGAGCATCTGAAATCATTGATCCCTGTAGTTAGATTCTGTAAACAAAGACACTCTATCTCAGTATTAAGTTTAATCCATGTGATGAAATCCAGAGAGGTAAATTGCATTACCAGAAAGGCACTGATTTTTGTAACTTAATATTCTCGATGAGGTGGTTAGTTTTGTGGTTAAAAGTTGAGCAACCACAACCACAGAACGCGTCCTGTGTCTTCTACACATAAATGAAGCAGATCGGGGCCTCGACACTATTGAGGAACTGTAAACGTCAGGTGACCTGTAGATAAGCGGCCTGCAGCTGTTAAGTGAGAAACTGTGTGTAGAGAGTCTATACAAGATCATCGGGCATCCAGGAAGGCAGAACTCCTCTCAGCCTCCTCTTATCTCGTTTAGATCAAATGGCTTCATGGTTTAAGCAAACCAATTTGTTGTATTACACATTTAGTAAAATATCATTTTTATATATGCGTTGGTATAGTTTAATGTCTGGCAATGAAGGCAGTTGTAATTTTATGTTTTAGTAAAAAGAAGAAAGAAGTATAAACAATCGCACAGCTGTTGTGTCAGGACCAAGGACAGCGCTGTGTGATGTGAGCGGTGCAGAGGACTGAAAGCACATCCGAGCACCTGTTAACGCCGACGTGTGGTTTGCAGTGGCAGTTGACGTGTGCAACAGATTGGTGTCCCTCCATCTATTGGGAAGCAGTGGTTGTATTTACTTTAAATAGAATACTTGAACGTATGCCTGCACACAACGTTATAGCGACCCAATAGTTGGAATATTTAGGTCTGCATGGTTAGACTCAGACTCATCAGATTAAAAATAGCCTGTTGCAAGAGAAAGTCCTGCAAACTGGACTGGTTTCTAGTGCTGTGCTGATTTCTTAGTAACTGCCTGTGTGAGCTCGGTGGGTGGAGGAGCCTCTTGCTCCATTTCCTGTGATTGTTGTCAGAACACTTCCTGAGTTTAAACAAACAGGAAAGGTTGTCTGGATTCAGATAAATGCCCCTGGCATCTACCACCCAAACGGCTACTTTTCCACACTTATATGGTTATAAACCATTTGTGGCACAATATATAATACTATAAATAATAATATGAATAAAGTGTAGGTGCAATGTTGCACTTACAGTTCAAAGTCGAGAGTCAAATTATAGTATTATATAAATTATAGTATTAGAGTATTGGAAATAAATTCATAAATTAAAATAAATAATAATGAATAAATAAATTCATAAATTAGACCAATTAATAAAATGCATTTAGTGTACATCAGAATATAGTCATTATTCTGGAACTATGTAATCAATAAAGTAATGAGAATATTATAAAACCACTGTAATTTTGAAACTGTAATCAATAGAATAACACAATGCACAACTATGATTATATTCAATATAATGTGATCAACCGAAATGCATGGATGTAATACTTTATGCACCACAACTGGTATTGAACTCACCACTGGTCACTGACTTTGACACCTTTACTGATCTGTATAATGACCCGTAGGCACCAATTGTTCTAGAGTTCGCTGGTGGAGGCAACAGACAGTCACTATGGGGGGTCAATGTGCTTCCCCTGGGGCCTGTTTTTTAACTCTTCAATCCAAGATGCTTTCTGTCTGTCCGGAGTTTCTCCATTTTTTGAAACACAACACCCCTCCTTATATACAAAAAGGACCGCCCACAAAGGATAAGAGTCAATGATTTTATTGGTTACACCTGAAAAGATAAAACTACAATCAATAAAGATAACGAGACAATTCCGCGGAAATGTTAAGAGGTTGAGTGAACAGATTTTATCTAGAACCCACAACTCAAACAAGATCTTGTAACCGCAAAACTATTGTGCCAACCAAAAAATAAGTAGACCCAAGACTCGAACGCGTACATGTTATTGATATTTCTGTTCGTATTATAAATACAGCTCTATAAATTTCAAAACGTGTACCTTCTGGTTTCTTTGAGAAATATGTCAGCAGATTTAAAGCAGCATTCCAAAAATAACTAGAAAATGCATTTCCTGCAGAAAATGCGTTGGAATGCCGAAAGATTAAAGCTGAAATCAATATCAACGAATTGCTCAAAATGCAGAAATGAGAAAAGCTGAAATACATTTTTTAAATTGTTGAAAATACGGACATGATACTATTAATCGTAGTAGTAGAAGTGTAGTAAAATTAGTGGTAGTATTAATAGCATCACAAATACTAGAGCCAGAATAAACTGGAGCCAGTGACTATTTATTAAATGCTTAGGCAGCATTTCAACAATAAGTATGTGAGATAACAAGAAGTCGCAGGCCACGCTCAACTAATACACACCCAATAAACAAAACATTTACATTTTAAGCACTATTGCTATTCTTGTGGCAGCAGGGTGGCAACGTTTGTGGTTTTATTACATCCAGCAGCTGTTGAGCAGAGCATTGATTTACAACGTCAAAGTCATCTGACACTCTGACCCCTGCATGTTCATGTATTGTGTGACGGCACAATCAAGGAAGTCAGCTCAAACCGCCTGGAGCCTACGCAGGCCGGAGACATCTGGAGAAGCAGTCAAAACACTGGGGAGCCTGCCATTGTTTTTTCTTCCAAAACGGAACTGGTCAGCGGGGCAGAGAAAAAGAACCTATGACTGCCGCTAAACATGGTTTCCGTCTTTAGTTTTCTTCCCAAACAGGATGCAAGAGCATGAACGTTAGTCTACGAACGGCAACACTTCTTTTTGGCTCCGAATGGACAACCACATATTGGTCGCATTTCACACTAAAAGCTCCCGGGCACCTTGTGGATATAAACATATTTATTGATCTTTTTGGAAATGACGTCGTGGCTTTTTCTGCTGCAGCTCATCGTTAGCTTTGAGGGTTTCTTCGGAGCTGAACATGAGACGCTGTGCACCTCCAACGCCTGCTTTACTCTGCATATGGACAAGGTGCGCTTTAATGAGGCCAGTGAATACTGTTCGGACAACGGAGGTTATCTAATGACGGTCAAAAACCAAGAAGAAGAAGGTGTACTGCGCTCGCTTCTCTCACAGATCCAAACACATCCTCTGGACGAAGCACTTTGGATTGGATTAAAGCTGCACAGTGGGAACTGCGTGTTGGCTGACCAGAGTCTCAGGGGGTTTAAATGGGAATCCGGAGACCAAGATTCCAACTATTCCAACTGGGAGAAAGAGCCTCTACCCACATGCACAGAGAGATGTGCAATGATTCATTTCACTAAATCGGGTCAGAGCCAGCTGAAATGGACTGATAAACATTGCAAACAAACTGCTTTTTATGCATGTGCGTTTTATTTTAAAGGGATGTGCAGACCTTTGGCTCTAGTGGGGCCCGGAAAAATCACCTACACGGCGCCCTTCTCAGAAGAGCCACTGAGGAGCGATATGCAACTATTTCCACTCGCAACATATGCTGTTATTTCATGTGACGACAAACCGCCTCACGACCAACCATCTGTGTGCCTGGCGATGGACAACACCTATCGTTGGCATCGGCCTGGTCCATTTTGCAAAACAGGAAAGCGTTATTGCGAGACAAACAACGGCGGATGTGAACATTTGTGCCGGCAGGATGCAGAAGAAGTTCGATGCTTTTGCAGGGAAGGTTATGACCTAGACGAGGACGGACTGGCTTGCAGGTTGAAAGCCGTGTGCGGCGTGGAAACCTGCGAGCATCAGTGCGTGATCACGGAATCCGGGTATTCCTGCAGATGTCCGGAGGGGTTCGAACTAGAAGTGAACCAGCGTAACTGCTCTGACGTCGACGAGTGCAAGTCCCGAGCCTGCGGGGATCGCCTGTGCCTGAATACGCACGGCAGCTACACGTGCGAGTGCCGAGGCGGCTACCGGATGGTCGCCGGTGAATGCGTCGATATCGACGAGTGCACGCACACCGGATGCGAGCACAGCTGCTCGAACAGCGTGGGATCCTTCTCTTGCAACTGCAACGAAGGCTTCAGTTTGTCCGCAGACGGCCACTCGTGCTCCTGCCCGCGGGGCTCCCACGTGGACGCCGACGGATCGACCTGTGCTCCGGACGTGACGGAAACGTCGACGCCTCCGGCCGACGGCCCACCGGATGAGGAAGAGAACTTTACCGAGTCCCTAACCGGGACCACGGTCGAGCTCCAACACCAGTCCCCTCACACTGACGCAACCTTTCTAGACCTGGGGAACGACACGCACGGGGATCCGGGGAGCAACACGTCCTCGGTGGCAGGTTTTGCCAACTCGGTTAACTTCAGGGTGATCGTCTGCGTCCTCGGTTCGGTAATCCCTCTGCTGCTTTTGGTGACTCTGACTGTCGTACTTTTCCGATGCCGTCGCTCCAAAAAGGAAGCTAAGAAAAGCAGCACCGCGGACGGTTACTGCTGGGTGCCCTCCGGGTTGGACCAGCGCTTAGAGAAACTCTATGACTCCATCTTGACTGATGACCTATGACCTGTCAGTGACGAAGAAGATGATTGTTCCTATTTATGTAATTTATGTTCTTGCAGCCTCCCTGGGTTTTTATAAAGATTATAAAGTCCCAAAAAAAGTAAAATGGTATATGATCGGCTCTACAATGGGGGTCATTTGTTGTGGAGATCTGATAGTTTGGATTTATGATCCCAGAAAGATTTGATTTGAGTTTAACAAGTTGTCCCAAGTGAACATCTTAATGTTAAGAACAGTCAACTAAGGTTGTATTTTTTCTTGCCATAACCAGACACATTTTCTGCCATTTTACCAATAAACTTATTTCAGTAGTGTTTGCATCAGCTCCAGGCCGACATTACTATCACTCTACGGCACAATTCAGATGAGATTTTGCAGTATGTTCACATTTAACCACACGTCACTCCCCCCACGTTCTTTACTGAAAGGAGTTTTCACATCTGATGCTGGTGTAAACATAATGATAAACAGTATCAAAACCAATACTGTAAGTAATGTGATTTGGAAAAAAAACTGAATAAATAATTTGCTCTAATACTGTATATCAAAAGGTTTTTGTTGCTGTTGCATTGTGAGGATCCTTGCTTTCACCAACCATGGACAAACCCGGCAGTCCATATTTATCCCATTTCCTTCCTGTCTTTAACTGTGTCATTGTTCTGTTGGGCGTAGCCCCCAACTCTCTATGTACTCTATGTACACTTTATTCAGCCAACATTGTAAGACGACCCGCACAGACAACATCATGGCCTGCTTGCAAATGACTACAATTGTGCCAGAGAAGGTAACGGCAATGGCTATTTTGATGTCAGTGTTTTTTTGCTCTTCTATGAAGACAGGATTTGGCGTAAAGCTGACGGGGGCTTGCAGGCCTGTTTGTACTGGCAGCGACTGCATAACGGTAAACCAGGACAGGGTGGATTTTCCATCAGCCGAGGAAGCATGCCGTCACAGCAACGGAGAACTAGTGACTTATCAGTCCCAGACAGATAAGAGCACACTTGACATTTTGAGTCAACAATTGCACGGGAGCTTCTGGATCGGACTGCATTTGCCGGGCGTCTCCTGCAGCAACCTCTCGGCCCCACTGAGAGGCTACGAGTGGACGTCTGGTAGTGTGCACAGAAGCTTCGGCACACACTTCAGCCCCTGGAAAGAAAGCGTCAAAGTCTGCTCCCCGCGCTGTGTGTCGCTTTCCAACGGCCATAAGTGGACAGAGAGGATGTGCTCGGACAGAATAGACGGCTTTCTGTGCAAGACGAAGCACAAAGATGCATGCCAGGCGCAGGAGTTATCCGATCCAAGTGGTATCCGGAGCTCTGAAGACTGCTCAGTTGGTCCGTGTGAGCACACGTGCACGGATGTAAAGGGAGGTTATGAATGCTCTTGTTTCAAAGGATATGCACCAAACATAAATCACCCCGAGCAGTGCATACTGCACTGTGCACAACAGAAATGCCCAGCAGTATGTGAAAACGACCAATGCTTCTGTCCCGAGGGCTTCATACGGAGTGGACAATACTGCGAGGACATTGATGAATGTTTGAACGGCTGCGATCACAACTGCAAAAACACATTTGGAAGTTTTGTGTGCTCCTGCCGAAATGGATTTGTCCTGAAAGATCAAGTCAGATGCATGGAAGCAGAGGGCAGTGAGAATGAGGTCGCCACAACTCCCACCGTCATCGCTTTTGTTAAACCAGCCACCAGTAATCACACAGTGAAGGGCTCCTCGGTGCCTCCTGGCAGCGTTTTCTGGATGTGGATTTTGGTCGTGGTGGCCGTGGCGGTGTCTATATTTGTGATACGGTTTTATGTTGTGAAACGTCAGAAGCGCAGAGAGCAAAACTCCAGTCAGCAATCTACTGTTCCTGTGGACAACAGTGAGTGTTAAATCGAGTCCAGAGCAACTATGTGCACCAAACTCCACTACTGAATCTGGGTAATGCATGAAAGTACTTTAATGATACTAATAAGCATAAATACATGAAATGAAGGGAGCTTTTTATGGCAGTTTATTCAGAAGTGGATGGACTAGGCAACAGTTTTTTAATCTGCATAATTAAATGCAGAAATAAAACTACTTAATTCAAAATGTATAGAATTTTACATTTGATTTTGTTTAAGGAACGTATTTATTCATAAATACAAGTAGCTAAACCATTGCAGCGTTAACATAAAGGATCTTCATTTTGTGGTTTTCCGAGGTGAAGCTGCTTTCAAGGTCTATCGTCGTAATTCTTCTCATTTTATGAGTTGATCATGACATGTTAAAAAGGTCTTTTAAAATGTAAATCATTTAAACGCACCTTCAGATTTGAAACTGTTGTCCTGCGTTCTCCTCAAATGTTTACATACGCATTCAACTGTTTGTAAAACGTGAGGGTTGAGTGTCTGGGAAATGATATTTGTATATGAGACACTAGATGGTGACTTTTTGGTTTCATTTTGTGTTACTTACTTACTTAGTACAATGACAAGGACACTGAATTCATTCATAAAAAAAAGTCACAGACCTCACCACTCGTGCTCAGGGTGACACCTACTGTTCTTTTGAAGAAATGCTTATAAACATGTTACATAAGAACATATACTTCTGTCAAGTGAATCTTTGTGTTGTTTGATTGTGGAATTAATGTTCCTCTGTTCAGTTTTACAACATATATTTTGGTTGTTATAGTATGAGTATATCATACTATTTTAAAAACGGAAACATCTCAAAATACAATCAGCCAAAATGTTCTCCTGTAGGCTGATGAGCTGCTACTTTTACAGTCGGCCTTCAACCAGGTCCTAATACCTCAGGGTACATTTTATTTATTTATGTTTTAGTGCAATTGTGCAGCAGTTCCCTGCAGCTGCCACTAGAGGAGCTGTTGACACACATTTAGCTGTTAGCGCCTCCAATAACCAAACCCCATTTAAAATGACTCACAGCTGAGAGGCTACTGCCTGTAGCTCCAGAACCATTGAGCTCTGGAACTTATACAACACGTTATGGCACATAAATATAATATAAATTGTCATTAGTGACCTCCCTGTATGCAAGCAGGAAGGAAAGGTTTGACCATCTTTGAGCGGTGGCTTTATGTCACTGGTTCGGATTGTACTTTCTCATTTCTCCTAGAAAACAGGCAAAGCAGATAAAACTGCCACTAAATAGGAAATGCCAGCATGTAATCAGTGAGAAAACACCAGGGCTGTAAATGAAAAAACATTTAATCTTGTGAAAAAATGATAAGTGGTGACAGAATTGACAATGCACATGTGAAAAAATAACAGCAGACTAAACGCCTAATTACTTAAAACAATGATAACAGATATAGAAAACTATTCTAAATAAGGTCCGATAACAGAGTATTAGGGCAGTGAAACATTTTTGTTAAGTTGGCTGTGAACTCCAGCATGTTGAAAGTACTGACTGAGTTTAAACTCAAGCGCTTCTTAAGGCTCAGGGTCAGAGGGTCATCAATGAGTCAATGTACCACGGGTCACATGAATAGTCATTGAATTGCTGTCCTTAGTACATTAGTTGTAAAAGTTTTCAAAGACCAAAATATACTGAAAATATTTTGTGAAATCATCACATCATGAGGTTTACCTCAATAATGACATGTATAATGATATTTGCCCTTTTCTCCTCCAGTCCTCAGTCCTCTGCACTTCAGACGCAGGCTCAGTTTCCGGTCAGGTGATTAAATTGGCCAAAATGAAGACAAACAAAGACTAAAAATTGCAATGTCAGCTACGGTGCTGTGTCATCGTGCATACTCATGATTCATTCATGATTTTAAAAATGATGGCGTGACACAGCATTCTATTTGTCATCCACACCCTCAAAGGATACAAAGCTCGATTGCATAACTATTTCTTTTTATGAGTCACACATAAACATGTGTCAAACAAAACATGCCTTAAAGGATTATGTTCCCACTTGAACTGTCCGCCCAGATTATTGTGTCCCCAACTACCATTGGTGGAACTGCAGTTGTAGGTCACTGGGTGACCAAATCCCGGGTGGACAGTTGTGTAGGACTGGCTGGGACAAACCTTACCCGGGTGGCACCGGTTGAGTCTGACACAACCTCACCTCTCCCAGTCAATACATGGTAATTTATGAATTTAGCCAGCCAATCACAATAGGAGGAGTAGCCTTTTTGACAGGGTACAAAAAAAAACACTTAGAAAAATATTTGGTTGTCCAGAGGTAAAGCTGACACACGCTAAAGTAAAAGAGCTATCTTGCTTATTTATTTTGGGTTTTACAACCTTTTTATTTAAGATATCATGTTTAATGTTTTCCAGGAATTTCCCTTTCTCTCTCTCATTTAGATGACTGCTGGCCAAACCAAGTTCATTATAATTCATGCTGCGGCATACTACTGCAAATAAAACATACATTTTTGTTATAATTTGTAAAACTCTTACCCAACCTACATCCTGTATTTCATACCTGTGTCCAGGCTGTATGACGAAATATCAGATGATGAACTTTGAGTGGGAGGAGCTACGTATTTCTCGACGTCAGCGACGTCTTAAAAAAACAAACACGGAAGTGAAGGCCGTCTCTCCGCGGCGTCAGCCAATCAGAAAGAAGGCGTCCGGTCGTAACGCGCTGTGATTGGGTTAATCTTTCTCCCGCCCCCTTTACGGCTCATACAGATAATAACAACCGGAATCCGGGCTAGCATGTGGAGACAGTCCTGTTGGACCATAACTAGCTCGTGTTAACGCACGCGTACGGCAGCTAGTTCCCCGGACACCTCGCTTCTTTGTTGGCGAAGAGAAGAAAGCCCCCCCGACCAAGCAGCAGTAATGTCGGCCGACGGCGTGTTCAGGACCCGCTCTCTCGGTGTCGCCGCAGAGGGACTTCCGGACCAGTACGCCGACGGCAAAGCGGCCAAAGTCTGGGAGCTGTACATCGGGGACACTCAGAGTAGGACCCAGGAGTACAAAAGCTGGGTGGTGTCTCTGCTGAAGGAGCACGGAGTGCAGAGAATACTGGACGTTGCCTGCGGAACAGGGTAATGTCAGGATGATTCAGCTGTTTGACGGCGGCAGGTGGAGAGGGCTTTAAATCCGAGTCTCGCCAGACTTCATTAGACGTTTGCGCAATTAAACGGAAATCCTTTTATATCATCGAAGACCGCACCTTCGGTCCAGCGTTTTTGTAAATGTTCTGTATTTGCACAACCCAGTCTTTAATTCGGCGTTAGTTATGTAGCAAGTCTCTGTTTATTCAATATCGTGTTGGTTTTGTTTTAAAAGTAAACACGCTAAATAGCGGTTTAATTTAATTTTTAAATGTAATTTTTAATATAATTTAAAAAAAAAAAATATATATATATATATATATATATATATATATATATATATATATAAATGTAACAATATAATACTATTTAAATCTGCATTAAACGTTTCATTGACATGATTCACATCTGAACTTAAAGTACTAAACATGTCTAAATCAACTTTCTACATTATCATGTTAGTTTGACTGGAATGTGCAACCCGCAGACTCATCTAACTGGGGACACTGTCCGGATTAGGCCGGCGAGGAGCCGGCGAGGAGTGAATGAAAGTGCTGAGTGGCACCAGCCGCTGTTTCCTCTGTAACTGGAAATCCCAGTTTAGTTTGTTAAAAGTGCTTTAATGTTTCAGCTGAGAAATCCTGTGTAGCCTAAACAGAAGCCTCCGGATGTTGTGATGTAAATATGTGTACATTCCCTTCATGATTACACCTGTTACCCACATTCACATTCTAATCAACACGAGGCCCCTGACTGGGAGATGTTTTAGAGGATGTTATCTGCTAAATGTGTGGGAGGTGACAGGTGACGGGTTCAGTGGTTAATAAACTGGTCGTGGTTTGCAGAATGGAGTTTTGACTGGTTCCATTCAGTCTGTTTACCTCTGCTGATAATGTATCTGTGCCCTGGAACAACAGCAAGGCCATTGGCTGAACTCAGCCAGGGGCACAATATTATTTAACCTGGTTATGTTGCCCCTCAGTTCACCTAAAGTGGCATTTGTCTCTGGTAAATGCAGTATTTTTGTCGTATATTTAGTAATTTAATTGTACAACGCCATTTTTGACAGTCTGCAAAATGGGCAGTATTTTTTTTTAATCACCCAGTTATCGTAATCATGACCTCCTCCACCCGTGATTGACACCACATTCGCATCCCACAACTACAAGTCGTGAAACTCCCCATCTCACATGCGACCGCCGGGGGTCCGGCGAGGAGACAATCGACACGCACTCTGTAGTACACGCGTGCGTCAGTCGGGGGACGGCAAACACTCTCCGGGTGGAATGAGGTTACAAATGGCCTCCCTATTTTGGGCCGTCTAAATGCGCCTGTGATGCGAAGCTCTCCAGTTGTTGCCCTCAGATTTGGTGGCAATTTAGAGCGAAAGAAGCTGCAGAACGTCGTTAAAGATACACTCAGATCTCACAGATTAATCTTTTGCTTTAGTTCAGAACTTTGTTGAACCAAGCTCCTAAATTCTTTTAAATGTGAAGGTGATTTAACTTGTAAAATGTATTTCTATTTTGCGGTTCCTGTTGACGTTGTTGTTTAAGGTGCATCATCTTTGAGTCTGATGTTTTTTGTAGTTCTGGCGTATTGCGCAAAATAAACTATTTGGAAATACTTCAGCATGACAAGTGTCCAAAAAACAAGTCAACAGCCTCGATTCAGACTTTTGTCCGGGGCTCATGTTGTCCTTTCTACTTAACTTAATATCAATAATCTATTTTATTACTGTAAATCATTAAAGTGTCCACGACGTCCCTATCGAACCGCATCGCTTTTTAAAGATGAACTGTTAGTTCTGTACTTGCTGACCGACATTATTGGACCACTTGATCTTAATACACGTTCACAATACATGAGCATTCCAGACAACATCACAGAACTTGTACTCAAAGAACGCGCGTCTCTTTGTCCTGTAGCGTTGACTCCATCATGTTGGTGGAGGAAGGCTTTAAGATGGTCAGCGTGGACGCCAGCGACAAAATGCTCAAGTACGCCCTGAAGTCCAGATGGGAGAGAAGAAAAGAGCCGGCGTTCGACCAGTGGGGTGCGTCCTTCCTCCTCCTCCCCCCCCGGGGGAAAGTTACAAAACACGCAAACCTTTTTTTATCTTTGTAGGATAAACTTCAACAGCGTAACGACGTTCTGTTCCTCTTCTCGTCCCTCCCATCCTCAGTGATCGAAGAGGCCAACTGGTTGACGTTACCGGACGATATTAAGAAGCCCGGCGCCGGCTTTGACGCCGTCATCTGCCTCGGTAACTCATTTGCCCACCTACCGGACTTTAAAGGTAAGCGAGAGGTCGAGGGACGTAAAACTCTTATTACCACTGCAACCTTTTAACATTCACCTTTTTGAAGTATTCAGCCGCTGTTGAGATTTCGGTTTGTTGGCACAAATAAACAATTCTAAACGGGATCATTTGAACTCAAATGGCGCTTATTAAGCTCCCTCAACCGACTCCCTTGTAAAAGCAAAGTTTGTGAACACGGTGTCGTCTCACCTGATGCAACGAAGCAATGACCTCATTGGTCGCACAGCGTGTACTTGAGATGGAACACAGGGTTTCTAAATGCTGAAGGTCTCCAAAGCGATATTTAAATTGTTCACTGAAAACGGCTTGAAAATGTCTCGTTCATTTCGCCCCCCCCAAAAAATGTCCAACCGGGTTGAATCATTTTGAGTGCGACTGTCCACAATCTCTTATTCAAACAATATTATTTAAGATCATTTCATGTCGTTGTTCTCAGGGGACCAGAGCGACCAAAAGTTGGCCCTTCAGAATATCGCCAGCATGGTCCGACCAGGTGGGATCCTCATCATCGACCATCGTAACTACGACTTCATCCTGGAGACGGGCCAGGCGCCACAGGGCAAAAACATCTACTACAAGGTACCGAGCGTAACCTTCTCCTTACAGTGGATGTAGACTCGCCTGTTTAAATCATATTTATATGAAGTTCAGCATAATACATTTTTGAGACTTTTGATGAAAGTAGTTCTAAGACAACAGAAGGAAATGTGGAGGGAATCTGTGACCATTTAAGTACTATAGAAAAGGTTTTATTTAGAAACGTTATGTTTGGTGTGTTTGTACCATTTATTATGTTTAACGTGTATTTTGTAGGTAAAACACACATGTATTCTCTTGGAGTTTAGTGCTATGACATCACATGTCTGGGTTTAAACATCTAAAATTGAATCGAAACAACCAATCCGTCAATTTATTATCTAATCTGGCAAAAGTGGGGAAAAAAGTAAAATGAAGATACGACAGAAGGTGCCAACAGCAATTAAGCATATTTGAATTTTTCCATATTCTTTAATCCGGCCAAAGTAAGAACCAACCAGCTGGGAGGCCTAAACAGGAATACAGAGTCAACAGTCGTGTGCGAGAGCAGAATCCCCTTCTGATACCTCGGTCTGCTCTCACGCTCCGACAACAGCAGGAGCCTCCGTGTTGAGAAGCTCTGAGTAAGTATCTTGATGCAATGAGCCCCACCGTGTTTTTACAAAGGTGTGTGTGTGTGTGTGTGTGTGTGTGTGTGTGTGTGTGTGTGTGTGTGTGTGTCTGTGCTGCAGAGTGACCTGACTCAGGACATCTCCACCTCGGTGCTGTGGGTCAACAACAAGGCCCACATGATCACTCTGGACTACACCATCCACGTGCCGAAGGCCGCCGTCCAGAATCTGCCCGAAGTCAGGTAGCCCAACGCTCGCCGCCACGCCGCCGCGAAGCCGTAGAGAGATTCTAACCCCCTCCCTCCCCCGCTCGCTCCTCCCCAGTAAGTTCCGGTTGTCCTACTACCCTCACTGCCTGGAGAGCTTCAAAGGCCTACTGAGGGGGGCCTTCGGCGGCAAAATGAAGCACAGCGTGTACGGAGACTTCCAGACGTACGTGGCGGGCCAGTCCAAGGCGCCGTGCTACTTCATCCACGTCTGCAAGAAGGACGCCTGAGAGTCGGACCCGGGCCGCCCCGCAGCCCGCCAGACGGCAGCGCTCGCTCTGCTGCTACGGCGAAGTGGTATCGGAAGTATTGTTTAAGAAAAAAATGTTTTATCTTTTGTAAAAAAATATATATATAAATATATATCATTATATAAAAACACACAACAGTTAGAAGTTGTTAAAATTAAAATTAAAAGTGGTTGATTCTGATCGTTCTCGCTAAACTAAAAACCTGCTCAAGGCTCAAATAGTAATGACGCTCGCCTCGTTGGTTCGCGTGCTCGTGTGCTGACCGGCTGCAGGTGATCACGACCAAAAGTCCAACCACGTTAAGCGACTGGTTTGGCCGCAGAATAAAGATGGCCGCAGCGTTGCCTGGTTCGGTGAGCCTGCGGCACAAAGAGGTCAAAGTTCCAAAAGAAGTATTCAGAATGTGTTGGACCAGTGTTCTCCCCGCATGTGGTGCTGCTTTGTGCCGGAAAAGTGAACAAAATGATCCCATGTCACCCCACTGCGAGTCTGCTACTGCATGATGGCAGTTTACATTCATTACTTAACTTTTATCGGACCCCCCCCCCCCCCCCACGTCCTTCTTGACGTCACCAGATAGTCAGCTGGAGATTGTGAATCACGTGACACCTTAAAAAGGTCCTTTTATGCACACGCTGAACACTCTGAAGGGCTCTTGGGTCCCCTCAGGCCACAGTGCGGAATGACCTCTGACCTCTAAAAGGTACAAAAATAAACAAACAAATAATCATTTTAAGTAAGACTTGTCATATTTGAAGGCGTCTCTAGTTTTCCTGACTTTATGGTACAATTAAAAGTGTCTCTTTGAGCCCTAAACGGCTACAACATTCGGGTTAGTGCACTAAGCTGGTCCAACAAATGCATTTAATCAAAAATCAGTCTTAAATAGTTCTCAACCAAAGATTTTTGAAATGCGTTATTTCCTGCTCAATGTTGGAATGTTTTAAAATGTAAATGTTATACAATCGTGCTGCACAGCGTCTCAAAGAATTGAGCTTACACAAATAATAAGAGGAGCACGATGAAAGAATCATTTATTTTCTGTATAATTCATGTTCAGATACATTTGCTTTGACGGCAAATAGAACACGTGTGTGCGAGTGCTGCTGTTTGCCTAAACCGGAGCGCCGCGGTGTCGCGGCCTGTGCCTCTCGTGGAACCGCCTGCCGGTCTCACAAGGTGGCAACAAAGGGTCCGATGTGCGAGTGGCTCCGACGTCGATGTACAGATGGTCGTATTTCACAGAAGTCTTATGTGTTGCCAAAAAAATTGCAAAACATTTTGTAATGAATATATTGCATGGAATAAAAGTTTTTGAAGTAAGTAAACCTGCTGATGAAATTCTTATTTTACTGTGATGTAACTAAATGAATTATGCATCATCGGAATCGTGACGATCACGACAACGTTGTAAAGGCAGCTGTTCCAAACTGTAACTTCTAGTCTCGATCATCTCCAGACACTATGTGACCGCCGTGTCCATGTTAATCCGTCTAAATTAGATCCTAACACTGACATGAAGAGGCTTCAGCCAGTGTCCTCGGAGTGCAGGACGCCGGTGGGACACAAGAGGCCGCTGTTACATCACACGTATTAAGAAGCAGCCAGAACCCCTCAGATGAGGAGCAAACTCCATTAGTGAACTTCTGTCTTTCTGCACGAGGACACGCTGAAAGCCTCCGGTCAGGTGTTAATGTACATCCTGATCGACCCGACCTTATTTTACGTTGGGTTGTTATGAGAACTTATCCTCTAAAGACTGCTGCAACTAATCGGAATCCAAAGAGAGCAGCAGAAAGTCGATTAAAACCAAGCGCTTCTTCCCCGTTTGGCGTCTCGTCAGCCAGCGACCTTTCGGTCTGACCTCTGAGCATAAACCCGCCCGGCGTCCCCGGACCGGAGCGTCTGCAGCTCATCTCGTCTCGTGTCTCGGAGGCATGCGACCGGCCTCTGTGTGGTAGACGGGCCCGTGCGGGAGGGGGAGCCCGATACACAAACCAGATGTGAGAGCCGCGTGCCAGATGTGGCCGCTTTGCTCCAGTTAGGGTAGTCAAAACGGTCAGCCGCGGGCCGGGGGCCTTCACGGGGAGGATTGCTTTCACGGCACGCCATTGGCCAACTCAAACAAAAACACGAGAGAGCCGACTGGAAAAGAAGGAGATGAGTAATTATCATTAATAATGGTTCTGCTGAAGAGCTTTCAGAAGGGGAGGAGATGTTGCATGTGAAGTATGTACGCCGCACGGTGTGTCCTTCTAGGCACTTTAACATTAAATTCATTACACAGATTGTCCGGCCACAGCATTTAAAGACGAGGTGACGACATCCAGAGAGTCAGAAGGCTGCAGTTTGAACACGCCGTCTCTTCTGAATCCGAGCGGCGCTCTTTCACTTGTTCCCGGAGAACAGGAGAGCGGCCGTTTGTTCGGAGGTAATCTTCTGTGACCGGACCACAGGTCTGGAAAAATTCACGCTTGTTGGCTCCGAGAACACAAGGGCCCGTTGTAACACTCGGGATGCTGGAAACGACACCGGCAGGGCAGACGTTTAAATACCTGCCGCAGGATTTCCTTCATCAGCCGGATTCCGCCTGAAAAAGACCCACCAGTATGAGCGAGATCACCACAGCGAGCCCAGTCAACTGACCAACAACCGGCCGCTAGTTGTCTTGGTTTTACAGGCCTCTCTCACTCAAAATGTTAACTTACGACAGACAATAGATGGAGAAAAATTAGCAAATATGCTAAAGTTTAGTAACTTATCGGCTGTCGCTGTGTGGCATTTTTTTAAATTTTAAAATAAATTGTATATTATAGGAGATTTGTGTTTTCAAAGAAACTCATTAACTCATCAGCCCTTATGCTAAGCTAAGACGTGACAGCGGTGCCGATTAGCGAGCATGCTAATGACTGTCCCAAAATGATATTGAAGCCTATCCTTTTGAGTATTACCGTTATTTTACAGTGGAATTCACCAGGCGAGCCTGAGCAGGTGAGACAGACACAAGAGGACGTCTTTGGTGACAAAAGACAAGTAACACGAGCGACAGTGAGAGTGGAAAAAGGTGCTGCAGAAATCCCAAAGTGTTGAAAGAGAGAAGGCTGATGGGGGAGGGGGGGGGGGGGCAGAGAGTAGGGGGGGGGGGCAGAGAGTATCTTACTGGCTTCAGTTGCTTCCACTGCGCGCTGCCAGATGAGTGGGTGGAGGGGAAAGAAGGATCTCTATTTGTCTTCCTGGGAGTTTCCGAGGCGGCTCAGAGCTCGTGTAGGTGAGTGGCTGCAGACCCCTCCGCCCCCCCCCCCCCCTCCCCACATCCTCTATCGTCCTCAAGGGTCCTCGCAGGGACAATCAATGCGGGCAGGAGAAAAGGTTTACGTCTTGCTTTAAACTCGCTGAACTGCGTTGCGTCCCTGTCACCCCCGCTGCACAGGAGAGATTCTGTTTTTATGTGCGTCTCCTGTGAATCCATCGCACTAAAAGCCCGGCTCTCATTGTTAAAAACCCCCGTGTGTGTGTGTGTGTGTGTGTGTGTGTGTGTGTGTGTGTGCGTGCGCTCTGAGGTGGAGGATCAGGACTAAGGAGTCTCAGACGTCTCTTTGGCCACCTCCTGACCCCTGGCTGCAAAAGTGGAAAGAAACGGATCATTTGCAGGGTGTGGGGGGGGGGTCTCTGTCGTATCTTCGTCTCGGTGCCTCGCTGACAGGTTTGCATGGAGTGTTTGTGTGACGGGACTTCGTTGGGCCGGGTCGAGGGCCCGTGAGGCCTTCTAATAAAAGGAGGAACGTTGGCAGCAGCTCTGGGGAGATATTGAACATCTTGTCACGCAGGGGAACCGCCTCATCCAGACCGGGGCCCATTCTCTACCCCCGGTGTGTAGCTGGGGGGGGCATACGAGAATCAAGAAACAGCCAACACCCCCCCTGCTGCGCCGAGAAGGCCGTCAGAACAATAAAAGCCGGCAGAGCAGAGGAAGCGTCCCGGCCAGAGGCCCCGCGGGCCGGACAACGCTCGGCCTGTTCAGGGTGAAACAAATAAACGCCTCTCAGTTACACACACACACACACACAGACACACACACACAGACACACACGCAGAGGGAAGGAATGAGGAAACAGATATGGAGTGAACAAGGACAAAGCAAATCCAAGCTGTAGTTAATCTACAAGATTTATCTTTTGCTCAGAGCAGTAATGCGTATTAAAGAGCCAAAATGTGACGGTGAGGGAAGCAGCGTTGTGTTCAGGCACCAAAGGACGACTCGCTCCCCCAAGGTCATATATATGTCCTATGAATCGCTTTGTGCACCGGCTAATGTGATCATTATGAATATGAATACTTTCTTATGACACTTTTATGACATACTTGCTGTGACTAATATATGACAATATGACTATTGACAAACTGTACATGTGTGACTTTCTTGCGAAATCAAATGATATGGAATAATATTGTACATATATATATACATATATAACTTTATTACTTAAGATATGGCTTTAATATGACTTTATTTCAACAAACTGTATTTTTTACCACTAATGCCACACACTTTCACCTTTTTTGGCACAAAATGCATTTACTTTTCTTTATGAATAAATTGTTTAATGACTTACATGATTTATTTTGGCATACTGTGTCCCCATATCACCAATGTATCCTGATAAGTGTGAATTAGTTCCCAGTCATATCTCATATTAAAGCTACTACCAGACTTATTAGTAGCTGTAGTATATCCAGTATAACCTATTTCCTTACAACCAATTAAAATAGATCCTTTTTTACAGTAAACTGTGGCGGTTTTTCTACGCCAAGACCCCAGCCTTGGCATTAATTTGAAATAGAAAAAGTACATGTACCATTTAGTTGTACCAGTGCTTTCTCTCCCACTCATGGCCAGGGTTTAAATCAGAGCCATAGAGAAAACACCTCCCACGTACTAATTCACCAGTGAAAAGGCATTTAAAAAGTAATGTTAGTTGATGAAAAGAGGATAGAGATTAAAACCAGCAATAATGTAATTTCCCATTTTCGAAAAGGCAGCGACAAAGGCCACGCAAAAAGGGGGCTTCGTTAAGACCCTCTGTTCATTTATTACCAGAGCAGTTTGGTTAAAAGCTACTGACATACCAACATCCCGGATTCATAACTTTTCTCTGGTAGCGTAACTACGAGGCACCAGATGGAAACATCTGTTCGCTAGTGCTCGTCGGGGGGGGGGGGGGGTCCATCAGTCCATCAGGAGAGGCTTTCCACTAAGAATCAAAGAGCACACGTGTTACTGTCTGCAGCCTCCTGCAATACGTGACTCTTAACGTCTTCATGTCCATGTGGGGGGTGGGGGGGGGTCCACTACGTGCCATTAAGACCATGTGGCAGCAGTTAAGATGGTTGACTGTATCTGCACTGGTGTGTAGAGATGGATCTCCCCCCCGGCCCCCCAAACTCGCTCTCTCTGGACAAACGGTCAACCGCTTACAACAATAGGCGCAGTGTTCTTAGTCTGTTCTCAGTCTGTTCTCAGTCTGTTCTGTTCTCAGTCTGTTCTCGGTCTGTTCTCGGTCTGTTCTCGGTCTGTTCTTAGTCTGTTCTGTTCTCAGTCTGTTCTCAGTCTGTTCTCAGTCTGTTCTGTTCTCAGGTCTGTTCTCGGTCTGTTCTCGCTCTGTTCTTAGTCTGTTCTCAGTCTGTTCTGTTCTCAGTCTGTTCTCGGTCTGTTCTCGCTCTGTTCTTAGTCTGTTCTCAGTCTGTTCTGTTCTCAGTCTGTTCTCGGTCTGTTCTCGCTCTGTTCTTAGTCTGTTCTCAGTCCTGTTCTGTTCTCAGTCTGTTCTCGGTCTGTTCTCGCTCTGTTCTTAGTCTGTTCTCAGTCTGTTCTGTTCTCAGTCTGTTCTCGGTCTGTTCTCGCTCTGTTCTTAGTCTGTTCTCAGTCTGTTCTCGGTCTGTTCTCGGTCTGTTCTCAGTCTGTTCTCAGTCTGTTCTCAGTCTGTTCTTAGTCTGTTCTCGGTCTGTTCTCGGTCTGTTCTCAGTCTGTTCTCAGTCTGTTCTTAGTCTGTTCTCGGTCTGTTCTCGGTCTGTTCTCAGTCT